AATTATAGCTTTCGTGAGCATGAAATGGTGTTATAACTTTGGTCCGATGTTTGTAAGTACCAAAATAAGAAGAGATAGACCCATTAAAATGTATAATTATGTGATCAGATCGTCGAACTGAGTCGATTTAGCCATGTCCGTCTGTTTGTATACAATCTAGTCTCTCAGTTTTCGAGATATCCGTATGAAATTTGGTAAGTGGGTGTATTTTTATAATGTATTAAACATTTGTCGGAACCGGAAAAATCTGACCACTATAACATATAATTGTTCAGATATGAGATTTTTCGTATAACTCCTCCATTTATGCAGCTAGGAACATGAAATTTCTCACTATGTCCATCCGTTATGAACATAATACACACAGTGAAAATGACAAAGATCGGGTCACTATAACCTATAGTCACTATAACCATTTATGCAGCTATGAACATGAAATTTCGCACTGTTTTCACTCATTATCAACAGAATACTTACAGTGAAACTGACAAAGATCGGGTCACTATAAACCAGACCTAGGCAGCAGCTTCTGCACGGCGGGCGTCGTCGCGTCGTATTCGCGTATACATACACGCTCTGCTTGGGAAGGCAGCGAAAGCGTCATTCATACGCACACTATAAAAATGTTCTGCCGAAGCTGCCCACCTCTGGTATAACCTTGCAGGGAAAGCTACTAGTTGTGAACTAGAATTCTACCGGTTTGCGTTTCAGCCGAACTAGTTCACGTTCTGTCCTTTTTCAATGTTAGCGACTGGTATTTTTAACATTGCGATGTCCTACGAGATGTCAATTGTCAGGCTATGCATCAGCATCTACTAGTACAAATACTAGTAGCATCATACCAGTTGATGAGATNGCATAATGGCCGACAGAGCAGAGCACTCGCATGGCTAGCCTGAGGTCCCAGGTTCAAATCCTGGCGTAGGGAAAATTTTTTTATTTTTTTATTTTTTATTTTTTTTTATTTTTTATAATTTAATTTTTTTTGTTTACACTGTTTATTGTAATTTTTAAATTTAATTAAAAAAAATATTTTTGTTTAATTTCTTTGTTTTTATATTTCTTCTTAAATGTTGTTTTGCAATGCAATTTGATTTTCAAATTTGTTATTTATTTATAAATTGTATAAATTATTTTTACTTACATTTATTTAACTTTAAAAATCTTAACCACCTCCAAGCGGCCTCGAACCTGCGATTTCAAAACCAGAACCAGTAGTCTTCACGTGACGCCACAGCCGACATTTGTAAGAAAAGCAATTAATTGCGTTTTATTTTTGGCTTTGGCAATTCAAAGGCAGATGTCGCTGATCGCCTAAGTTCTTCGAAATTGTCGAACTGGTAGGCACTTACTAGTTAATGAACCAGTATTTTTTCTAACTGGTTTGGCTTTTCACTGCAGGGAAACTATTGCCTCCATACAACTGATTATTCATATATGTACCTATATATGGGGTTTTACTTCAAAACTCCTTTATATGGACACCTAAAACCGATAAATTTCTTGAGCTATTTTCTAAATTACCATACAAAGTCTATTGAGAAAATCGTCAAATCGTCGTGCTGTATAATCTATATGTCCTATATCACTGATTGTTCAAATTATAGATGGGCGCGTGGGTGATTTTGGCTCACGTTCACGCACGCTCACGATGGCTATTTTTTTAATCACGCAGGTTCACGCACGCTTTCTCACGAAAAGTTTTTTCAAATCGAAACTTTTTTTTATATAAATAACATTCCATATAAATAGGCTTTTATCACACAAGGAATGTTACAAAAGCTTCGCCAAACGCATGGCAAGAGATGAACGCACTATTAATTTTTTTTAGAAATTTCAGATATATAGTGCTTATCATAACTTTACGACACTCATACTTTGAAAAGATTTTAATTAGATTTTTTAGAAATATTTGGAGTAAGTTGAAAGTAGCACCGACTTACTGTTGATTTTTCGGTTTTTTTTTGTTGATGGCATTGCTCATTTTCTCCATATAAAAAAAAAAACGACGAATGTACTTTGTATGGAAGAAAATGAGTGACATCGTAAGCAAAAAAAAATTGCCAAAAAATCAACGGTAAGTCGGAGCTTCTTTAAACTTCCACTGTATTATATAAAAATTTAATGGAATACAAACCTGCATACTCAAAATATTTATAAGAAAATATAATTAAAAAGCCTGAAATTTGTATAGACGAGGTTTTCACCGAACAGTCGTGTACCTCCGTCTTCCTTCTAGATCTCTGCCTGAAGCAGAAAAAACTCTTTCACTAGTTGATGAGCTAGCTGGTATGTCTAAAATTTGCCTTTGAAAAGCTTCTAAGAAGTGGCAAATCTTAAGCTTTCTTACCAAATGTTAAAGCTTCGTCACAACTTTCTTTTATTCTTTAAATAAATCTGGATTTCCGCGTTAATGTCTTAATTTTTAATTAAAAATTCACATATTTATGTATGTAAAAGTTACGTGACTGACGGGAAACAAAAATGTCAGTCACGCACGATCACGGAAATTACGGGAAATTGATCAAACCCGCTCACGCTCACGCGTGAAAAAGCGTGACATGACGAGTCACGTAGAAAATCACGAGTTTTGCCCATCTCTAGTTCAAATACAAGTTTGTGCGATATAACTCCTTTATTTTGTCGAATGACTGCCTGAAATGCGAAAAGCGCAATTTCAAATGTGCTTGTCACATCTGCAGGGTGTCAGTATTCCGAATTTGCGGAAGCAATTTTCCTATCGCATCGTATTATAGAGTAACCGCCAGAACGTCAAATTTGAATTGATGCACTCAATATAGATATTCTCGCATTGGTGATTCAATAAGGGAGGACTTACGCACTAAGATAGGACCTCATCATAGTTATTTAATTAGAACATCCATACAGTTGAATGCTAATCCCATGGTATGGGCCTGCAAGAGTTCAAGAGGTATGGTAAACTGTCTTTTATTGACGAATTTGGTAGAAATGAAAATTATATGGACATTTTAAAATGAATCTACTCAGTCCGCTTCAATCCGGTTTTAGAGCTGGTCATTCTTACTCGACTGCCGTCGCCAAAGTACTGGACGATATCCGTCAATAGTTTCATCAAGGTCACTTAACACTTCTATGTCTATTATTTTTCCAAAGCGTTTGACNCTTACTCGACTGCCGTCGCCAAAGTACTGGACGATATCCGTCAATAGTTTGATCAAGGTCACTTAACACTTCTATGTCTATTATTTTTCCAAAGCGTTTGAATCTGTCAACCACAGTCCTCTGTGTTAAAAATTAGCTACCTATTTTGGATTTGGTGAAAATGCAGTAAAGCTTCTAAACAGTTATATCTGTAACAGAAAGCAGAAAGTTAAAATCGACAACATATTCTCTGAATTGCCGCTCACATGCTCTGGAGTACCTCACGGCTCTGTGCTAGGTCCTCTCCTCTTCAGTATTTTTATCAACGATATTTTCAACACAAGCTCACACGTTCGCCTCCACGCCTACGCCGATGACGTTCAACTCTATATATCTAACCATATCAGTATGGTCCAAGATACAACACTTAGGCTTAATGAGGACTTGCGCGCAGTTCTTGAGTAAACCTTCTCAGCCTCAATGCTCTAAAATCTTAAGTACTCCCAATTTGCAAAGATAGAATCCAAATTTATGATATCCCTCACCTTTATATTGGTTCTACAAAGCTTGAATTAGTCAGCAAAGTGAGAAACTTGGGTTTTATTATTAATTCTAAGATGACTTGTGAGGACCAAGTCAATGAAGTTGTGAGTAAAATCTACTACACCTTTCGTTGCCTGAGAGTATCCTTGCTTTTCATATCTTCAGATACGAAAAAGAAGCTGGTTTTAATCACAATTGTTCCCCTTATTACTTACTTCGAAGTAGTGTACAGCAAACTGGACTTTCATTCCCTGCGCAAACTCGATGTTGCATTCAACCATGCCACTAGGTATGTATGCATATGGCTTCAAGAAATTTGACCAAATATCTAGCTTTAGAAACTCAGTACTTGGCTGTGACCTAACAAAATATAAAAGCTCGTAATTGCATTTTTATGTTTAAATTGCTTGTTTATAAAAAGCAGGAATATCTATATGAAAGGCTTAAGTTTTCCAAAAGCTCACGCTCCTTTAATTTGATATTTCTGAAATTTAATTACTTAAGCACTTCAAGGCTTTTGTTTTTTGTTAATGGTGTTAGACTTTCGAACTCCGTTCCATGCCTCTAAAGAACTCACTGCGTGAAAGTAATTTCAAAAAATTCATATTTGAATATTTTTCCGATTAAGTCGCATAATATAATAAGGTGGTCATAAATTTTCTATTTGGCTTTTCTAAGTTTGTATTAATATATGCATACATACTTGTTTTTATATAATTGTAATTTTTATTTTATTTTAATACATATTTTTGTACTCAGTTATTTGTATTGCACAGTAAAAGATTAATTCTTAATGCGCTAATTTAAAGAAACAAATAAATGAAATGAAATAAAAATGAAATTTACTTCCCTCGAGGAGTTCCCTAGAAAATTATTTCATTTTTATTGATCTTCATCGTTCTTCCAAATATACGGAATTGGCTTAGTCAAAGAGACGAAGAGGGTTTAGATTGCCTGACCTCAGATCTCGATCCCATTGAATCTTTATGACCAAACATCAATTCTAAATTTAGTTACTGTATGGCTAAATGTGGTCGTTTTCATTTGTTTATTTTTGAGTGTTTTATCTAAAAATTACTGAAACTTTTTTTTGCCACGAAATTGTAATAGCTGTTGTACTTTTCCGTTAAAGCAGTATGAAAAATATAGCTAACATAATTTCTCACATTGAAAAACATGCATCAGAATAATAGGCAACCAAAGATTTCAAGAATGTATTGACTAACAGTGTATCCAGAAAAACTATAACCAAATTATGTAGCTGTGACCAAGAGAAATATACTTATTTAGTTGACTATGTAAAACAAAACAATAATGGGAAATTTTATTTACAGGTAAAAATGGCATTGCGATCAATCTCGTGGATGGAGAGAAAGCCATGAGCATTTGCAAGTACATTGAAAATCACTTTAAGAAAACTATTCAGCTGCTTGACACAGGGAACTCAGATGAAATTGAAAAAATTGGATATTAAAAAATATCGCTATTTACATACATATGATTTGGTTTTTTTATATATATGCGTATTTTAATTGAACATTTCACAGTTTAATAATATTGATCAGGGTTGTTGCAAATAATCAATGCGGAGCTTTTGCGAATACGAGTATTGTGCAAGTGCACTGATAAAGCGTCTACCTGGCAAACAAAATGACAAATTGTAGCCGATATTTTTTGCCTTTGGAGATGCTACGTTAAAACTGTCCCCCTACGTCCCCTTCTTTTGCAATTTAAAGTCAGAGAGTAAGATTCTTTAATAGGTATTTCCAGCGAAAATTTTCAACGTCTAGCTATAAAGAGAATCGACTATTTGCCCGTTAAAAGATAGCCTTTAATTAGGTAAGAATTATGTAACTGTCGAACATTCGGTCCTATTATGTTTGTCGACGTCGACGTCGATGTCATTTTTTGGTTAAAAAATAGCTTTCATCGTCCAACCCCGTTTTCGCTTACCACAGTAGTTTTGCGAGGAACACCTTTCCGTAAAAATACTACTGGGGTCAGCGCAGCGGTCGTTGGACTTGCGATGGCTATTTTTTTTAAGAAAAAACGACATCGACGTCGACGTCGACGTCGACAAAAATAATAGGGCCGATTATTTGTCAAAGGTCTGTTGAAAAAACTGGATGCATCGCCATTTTTTATTCTACTTTTTCTTAGAGAAGTGGAATTATTATTTTTTTATTAAACGGCTTATTATGATTAAGTTCCGTGGTTTCTTTTATTACTTAACAGAAAAACACACCAAATAATTTTGACCAGTTTTACTATGCAAATACTCCTCTGTGCGCTCGAAAAAAAATACATTTATTTTAATGTTGTGATAGTTGTCAAAATTTGCACGCAGCGAAATAAAAATAAAATGGAATGTGAAAAAGTTGATAGCCAAGTTCACAAATCAAATAAGAATCAATTCAAGGTGAATTTAATATCTATTGAGGAGTGGGACTTGGCATACACATCCTCGCTGAAATGCAAAAACTTTAAAACCAAAATTTACTATTGACACAAAATTACAATTACATGAAAATTAGTTTTACACTGAGAATAAAAATTCATAGTTGTTAGTAAATTTTAATTTGCACTATCCACCGCTTTAATTGCGAAAATCTTCTGCTTGATAGCGGTGTACCGATCGGCTGCTTCGACGAACTTCTTGCGGATTCGTTGTTTGTTNCGGTGTACCGATCGGCTGCTTCGACGAACTTCTTGCGGATTCGTTGTTTGCACCTGAGACTATTCAATATGAGCATCTGCATCTGTATCCGGTATCAATAAGTTGGAAATTGGATTGGTCCCTTCACTGTTGTTGTTTTCAACTGACCTCGCGTCCTCTTCATGGCGAGATGTCATTTGATTTTGGTGACGTTTGTAGAAACCCCTGCTAGTCTTTACTACATACATGACTTTACCTAGACGTCTGTCCACGACACCCTTTAGCCATTTCTCTCCGCGACCATAGTTTCGAATATAGACATGTTCCTGCGGTGAATATTTGGTTCGAGTTTCTTTAACGTCTGACATTTTTAACAGAAAACATCTGCGAAAAGACAGTACGTGCTGGACGACCACGTAAAAGCTGTGCTGATGACATGCCTTTAGCATTTGGCATTTGGTGACATGCCTTTAGCATTTTAGCATAGTGCGGTAGGTTGTAAGAAATTTAAGAACGGCTTCGCCTACTTGCAATCCATCATCTAAATTCTTTTTCACAGCAGTTTTAAAAGTACGTACAAATCTTTCAGCCAGCCCATTGGAGGGCAGTGTTGAAAAAATGTTAATCTGATTAACGATTAAAAATTAACGATTAAAATGTTAATCGCGATTAACGATTAAAATTAATTAATCGTAATCATCTGTATGATTAATGATTAAATATTTTTAATCGTTAATCGTCGGTTGTGATTACGATTAATTAATTTTAATCATCAATCGGTAATCCGATTTAAAAAAAATCTGATTAAGTGGTCTAGTTTGTCTGCATTTTAAATCAAACGCCATATACGGTTATTCTTTTCTGTTTGACGCTTATGAAAAACACATAATACTTATATAAACAAATAATAATTATAATTTGTATAACATAAAGTGGGAAGTTTGACAACCCATGGCACATGTGCAGAGAGATATAAAACCTAGTTTTCATAACGTCTGCTGGTAATAGATCACAATCAAAATGCATACAAAATTGCTTAGATTAGGGATGCACAGCAGAGGTGCACGCAGTCGACGTCGCGGGCAAACTGCGAGCACGCGAGTATGCTAGGCGAGGTGAAGTGAGCTGTACGGAAATGGCAACGTATACATATTAACCACTACACACTTATTTTCAAGTAAAAATGCGTGTATGTATGTGTACTTTTGCGACAACTGAGCCAGTGTGGCATCAGGCCACCAGAAAAAGCCAATTTTTCCAAAACAAAAGCGCCAAGTTTTTATTATCATGATTAATAATTTTTTTGATTCAGTAAAAAATGTATATACATATCCATTTCCTCACGTTTTTATTAATAAATTAATTTCAATAAATTTATAACACCGCAAAACATATTTAATTTACCTATTCCTCACATTTTATTCAGTAAATGAATTCCATCTTAATGTAGAATATTAGTGTATAGTGTATACATACATACATATGTACCTATGCATTCGGTGTGCTTAAATTAAAAAAGCATCACTAAATAACGCACCAAGCATTGAATTCCAATTATTTTGGCTTTTTGGTTTCCCAAAAGCACTAAATTTAGTGCAAAATGCACGACCTTGGCAACAGTGAGCTGAGTACATCAATGCTCAAACAGTGATCCCAGACCAAGTATTGAGTAAATGCGCTATGTATATTTTTCTTTTAAAGCAAAAGTTCTAATTGGCGAGGGGATTGATTTTTGGTTCTTACATAGAACACTGATAAGATTCACAAACTTATCTTAGGACTTAATTAAAATAATCAAGATTATTTGTAGACGAATATATTTGTGTTCGTATGAAATAGTAGCTTATGTCGGGAGGCTGACTTTAGTAAAATGTACCATTTCCTATATTCTTTAAACCACAAGGAATTTTTTTATGAGACTTTATACGAATATTGACTTGCTAGCATCGCCATCTTTTACGTTTATATTCCAAGAGTTCTTCAACGACTCGGCGCCAGTGAGTCATTTCGCAATCGTATGCTGCGAATGGTTCATTATACTAAAGCCAGTCTTCCGACATAAGCTACTATTCTATACGAACACAGAATGTCATTCTTCCTAATAGGCTTGTAAAATGCCCAATACCCAAATCCCTCGCATGAGTTATTAACGGTAAAAAATTGGGTACGCTCAAATCTGGCATCGCTGCAGCAAGTACAGCGCCATTGAAACAGTGTTGATATTTTAAGTACAATTGTACTTTTTTCAGTACAGTTAATTTTAAAATGTACAAAAGTACAATTTGCCGATTTTAAGTACAATTTCAATATCAAAAATACTTTTTGTACCAAACGCTCAAATCTCTTCTAGCACTTTGATTCCTAATCCGTTTACATTTAAGTAAATGGATATACCTATATTTCATATTTGCTACAAAACGAAATTATGAATTGTAATTTCGAATGTAAACGTGATTGTGAACAGTAATATTAGTGATGTGCGTTATGGTGATTGCGATTTCTTATCACCGGCGGGCGAAATATCCCTCATCGCTATTTATTTTGAAAAAATCTTTGGAAATGCAATTTACCTTATGGCGATCCTGCAGAAATAGAGCAAGTCGGGGGGGTTGAAAGTAAAAAAATGTATGTAAATTCCATGCGTTGAAATTAAAAATATCCCTTGAGGATTTCCATTTTATCGATAGTGATCTCATTTTATGTTCATTAATATGGACTGACCTATATAGTGTATTAATGTTTTATCATCATT